ATTTCCGCTTACGTGTCATAAATAATTCTGCAATTTATCGTGCGGTCCTTTGCACGAAACTGTCTGTGTTTGCATGTATCAAGGATGAAATACGATGCTGTTAACTGTAATAGACAAGTTTTATGGACCAGACGGTATGAAAGGAAGGAAAGTAGATAAACGGAACGACATTTATTACCGGTAGCGACATTTAAGAAATCTTATCAATGATTAATGTTCAATCGATGGTTGTAGTTGTTTCTTTTTAGATAGTTATTATGATGTACAACGTGTACATATTTGTTAACACGGAAAGTAAAAATATTTCCTTTTTTGCTATAAGTTAAGTATGATCCGCAAGAGTTGAAGCGAAAATGTTGAATGGGTTAAATTGTTGGAAAACTATTATGGTTGAGAGATGAAACATTATTACAACTGATTAAATATCTGTAAAATACCTGTTATATATATTTAGATTTTAGATGATTATATAAAATGATGAATATTTTTTTAAATTTTACAATTCCTAATTACATTGTCTTTATTTTTCGCTTAATCTTGCATATTTATTTTTTCTTCTCTTTAATGTTTGAACAAAAAATATGACTTTTTAAATTACGATTCAATGAAATCATGCATGTATTTATTCTCGCACTTTTTTTGATAAAAAGGAAAAAAATTCAAGAGATCACAAAAATATCGCTAAATAAAGTTAAACTCTTTTCTCACGATTAATGAATAGGAAGTGAAATACGGAACATTTTTGTTTCTTATGGTTTCGGCGAGAAGTATGTATGGTGCCATCGCTGTCGCGTGCACATGCACGCGTGCATGCTTCCTAGCATCTCGGAATGATGGCGGAAATTTGGTTCTCTGCCAAGCGCTTGTGTATCCTTGGACGATTGTTTCCTTCTTATTTTCGCGTCGAGGAGGATGAAATGAAAAGGAGTTATCGGTGGTAAATCTTTTCAAAAGAGGAAGAGGGAGAAGAAAGTTACACTGTTACGTCACACTGTTACGTGACGATTGCAATTGCTTGGAAGCACTACGGTTCTTCTGTCCGCGGATGATCAATTTTCGCGAAACAAATTAATAAACGGTAGTAGAGAATTGTTAATTAAAGAAAGCTTTATTTATAAACAAATTTGCTTCTTTTATGGGAAAGAATTGCCTCGAAATTCTCGCGTTGATGATATAGATTTTATATAAATTCTCTGCATTTGAAATATTAAGCAATAGGAGGAAGAGAGAGCTTATGTTTAATAGAAACTTAAAGTAACTTTGATCATAATTCAAATAATCTTACGCAATACATGATAACTGAAAGGAGAGCTGTTGATTTTCCTCGAAAGCGATGCTCACCGCGATCCTGCCTTGTATTAGTTAGAAGCATCGTGATGCAAGCAAGATCATCCGGGAAAGATGTTGCGGATCCTGGATATTCACGCTTCCAAGATAACGCGGACTTTGACGCCCCACCCATAAACCCGTTTGTTTTATACCCTCGTCTAGTAAGCGTTGTTCGTCTAGATGTAACAGGAGTTCGCTCTTTGCATGCTTTGCACGGAGAGAAGGTAGCATAGTGAGGAATTTTATTAGTCGCGAGAGCAGCGGCTGCAATGTCGGTTCCCATGATGTAAATGCGTCATTTGAATACACGCAAAATTATGAATTATGACGAGTCCACTCGTGGATGGCGAGTGCTGCAATATCGCGAGATGTCATTTTTATAGCCGCGCTTTCGATAGGTTTTAATTATTGGACATAGTAAGAAAATAACGATTAATGCGAATTTCTGATAATTTCCGCGCGAATTAAGCTTAAAACATGACGGATTAGTATTATGAAGCGCATTAACGAAACGTCTGAAATATCGAAAAATTTCAAATGTCGAAGAATATATGAAGTATTAAATTATCAAAAAAAAGCTTTGTAATTAATAAAAGATTATTATTAATAATTGCATATTTTATTTCATTTAATCCAGTTTAATACTGCTTTCGAAGAGTGGAAATAATGGTAAAATATTTTTCTCGAATTTGCAAAAATATGTGAGAATTTGTCATTTCGGAGATTGTGTATTTTGACATTTTTTTCTTTTCTTTTTTTTAATGTCAAGCTTGCAGCAGCCGGCATCCGTTCGCGACGCGCTGACCTCGCTCGTCGAAATCGCCGCGATGGGCAGTAATGTATAAAAATAAATTGAGAGAGAAGTGATTTTTTTCGAACGTGCTTCGTCGTGAATTATGAGCAATTAAATCCGCAACGAATGTATTATGAAGCGACACTGCACTCTGTGCAATTTATATTCCATGTGTATGCTCTATCCATAATAAACTTGTACACGCTCTGTATTAAAATCACGTACGTTTGATACGTCGATTTAACAAATCCAATAGCAAAGGACGATATTTGTTACATTATTGAATATTGACCGATGCAACTTTTCACAGACAATAAATATACGCAAATGTTTTTTTTTAAAAGTACGTTATCACAGTACTCTTCACATCGACTGATTTTTATTATCCATACAGTCCATTCAACATTTATCTATCATTTAGTATCAGAGTATCATGTATATAATATAAATTTTCATTTATACGTTATACTATATTTTTGACAAATAAATACGTATGTAAACAGAGAATTATTAAGATATAAAAACAAATAGAAATTATTTAACGGCCTTCTCTGATTCTATTTCGCTTTATATTGATACCGATCTATATCGGCATAAAGTGTCTCTCTCTCTCTCTCTGTACGTGTATATATGTATATATATATATATACTTACCCGGTGGCAACAAATCCCCATTTCACAGTTCAATAACAAGGATATACAAGTCCAAAGTGTGAATATTAATTGGAAACAATTAGCAAGCTGTTTCGACTGCAATATAGGAAGCCCGTCTATCAATTGTACCAGATGAATCCACTGATTGGGATAAGCAGCCAGTCGCTGATTGCGACGAGAACGCGCTCGTTACCGGCGACTTTTAGTCGCACTACGGATTAATTACTTTCGCAACTCAGTCCGCAATGATAATTCTGCTTTTGTGCTCCACGATGCGTATGACATACAAATGTGTTTAAAATTAAATTTCAAGAGGAAATTCCAAAAGAAAAATTAAATTGTTTAATTTTGCTCATTTTGGTCGTTTATTTTTATTATATGTTTTTATATAATAAAAAATATATATTTTTTATACATCTAAAAATATATATATTTTTCTATGCATCTACTGCGACTACGTTTGTCAGAATCTATCACTTCTAATTTCTATACTTTGGCATTGGATACTGACTTCTCGGATGTTCGCTGACGGCCCAACGTTAAACTGTAAATTAAAATAAAAAAAGATGCGTCATTAATTCGAACATTCATGCACATATCATAAATGCTTTAAATTAAAAATGTTATGTCAAATAAATGTACTACATTTGTATAAATAAGATTATAAAGTCTTTCAACATAACAAAGGAGTATGGCAAAAATATGAAATTGGATATGTAAATAAATTCTTGTTTTAATATTTCTATTTTTTACAAAGATTTTAATAATCTGTTTGGGAACTGAGTATAATGAAGACAATGTTTATATATGTTTTCATATCATTATTTTTCATTACTTTATTAAGGTTTTCAACATTAACAAGATGTATATCATGATTAGTAACAATTATGAATAATTACTGTAGGCGATGGTAGTTACGATTTATACTAATATGTATCACATTATTGAGGTAAATTGCGAAAAAATACTTTTAATTTTATTTAAATTATAATGAGATATCGTTATAAATATAAATGAAATTACGTTATTGTCGCAGCATTTGATTAATAAATCCCTAATCAATAGATCTTGTTAATCACTTTCTGGATTAGTGCATGACGTGCACTGCATATGCATAATACGATAACGTGGTAACTTTGTTGATTAGATCGCGTTGTATTGCTCATCAATCCAGAAACTCGATAATTTATATATCTATAGATAATAAATGAAATGTCATTCTGTATTCGAATAGGAATGTGTTTCTTTATATATTTTATCTTTCTATTTAATATGTAAACTTTCGACTTATCAAAACTTTTTTTTAATACGTAAATACTACTTATAATATCCGTGATTAATCGAGCCTAAATTTTATTATTAATAATAAAATTATTAATAATATAAAATTACGTAATCATAATGTGATAGACCACACTTTAAAATAGTCTCACTTCTCACTTTTAATCATACAAGAGATGTCTGCACAGGTATTTAAGACTTTCTACATCGCATAAAATCACTCACTGGTTTCAAGGGACATTACTCCGCGTTACTCCAATAACGATCGATAAACGGTCCACCATCGCGAACTATTGCTACAATACTGGCATCGCAACGAAGCGAATTGCTTCAAAGGAAACTATCGGCACCATTAACGCTTTACGTTCCAGACGTCTCACAAAGTGTTACTACAAAGGAGCATTCCTACACTTGCAAAAATGTAATATAACTTCTATATTTGACGATGAATCGAGGCTGAATTTGTACATACAATTATAGGAAATACAAATGCATTTTCATTTTTTCGCAAAAAACGTTCTAAATATGTTTTTTTAACGTTGCATTTAGATTTTTTGATTGCATTGTAAAATCAGTTATATTCGCATATATATAATTATAATATAAATATATGTGTGTATATATAAATTATATAATTTATAAGGAAGTGATCTGATTGCAGCCAAACATTCTGTAGAACAACTTAGGTTTTGACAGTCTTTTCCGACAAAATTATCACCTATTTAAAGCAATTTTAAAACAAGCAATCTTATTTTTAGAAAACATCCTCAAAACATTTTCGAAATATTTTATTCACAGAAAATATTTTTAAAAAAATTGCAAAATATATTTTCAATGACTCTCAAAATATTACGAGAATATTTTCATTCATCTCTTCATTTATCTCTTTTTCGCATTATATGTGAAAATATTTTTTTCGTATATATAAAAATATTCTCAAATAAAAAATACTATTTTCGAATACATTTCCAATAGATTTCTAAAAGAATATCTTCAGGCATATTACAGAGCTTTCTCTCGAAAATACTTTCCATTATCAGTGACAAACTTATTCGCTATCAGAGACACAAGTATTTCCGCTCTGCTCCGTGTCCGCATGAACCTCGCCGTTTCCGGAATAAGACACTCTGCTGTACTTGTGGACGGATTTGCGTTTGCGGATGCACCAGATTAGCACGAGATAAATGATGACGGCAATCATGAGGCACATGTTAATCAAGCACACTATGGTCATCCTGTAGAACCATTCCGTGGATTTCAACTTCCAGGCAAGTCCGTTCAGCGCGCACAGTGTTCTTCCGTTGCTCCATGTGAATAACGAGTCCGCATGGCAAGTGACGCAGTCAGCGTCGCTAGGTCCTTTGCATGATAGGCAGGAATAATGGCACGCGATGCAGAATACACTAGATTCGTCGTCCCGGACCGCATAAGTCCCGGACGGGCACTGTCGCAAGCAGCTGCCATCGCTGTGGTACCAACCCAGTTTGCACACTGAAAAATTAGATATACCATTGACGCTCTTCGTCTTTGTCCAGTCGAGCTTGTATTGTGTTGTTGCTGTTGTTATTATGCATTATACTTTGTCGCGCTCGAGTCGATTACATATCGTTGGGATATGGCTTTAATAAATATGTATGGTTTTATATGAGAAGAAATCATATTGATAAGATTTAGACTGAAAAGCCATCTTTCTCGTTAAAAAATTACCGCTTTTTTAATTTAATTGAAATTAATTTTTTTGAATAGTTAAACAAATAGGTTTACTTTAAAAATTTAATCAACGTCATTAAGTATATATATATAATCACACGACGCATAATTACGTGTATTTTAGTGTGAGTTCATGTATCGTAAAAATATATAAAATATGTATATAATAAAATACATATATATCTTAAAATAAAATAGAGGTAAGCGAAACTTAATTCAGATATGTGCGGATTAGGCTTTGGCGAATATTATTTTATGAAATTTATCAATGTTCAAAGTTATTTACGCAAACTTTTGTCCAATTCATATCACATATCGAACACTATTAAGATATAAATTCAATATTATTTTAATATGAATTCACATAAATGTAAAAATACAATTATTCGTTATAAAAGTTGATTCTGCTTTCTATACAGAATTCGTTTTACGCGTATAATGCAATATTTTCTATATGCATATAAAATTACATGAAAAATTCATCAATCATGATTCTCGAATATTTTTTTCTATAACTGATTAATTAAATATAAAATATTTATTGATTAAAACGTCATTTATTTTGATTCGCCCAGGCCTATAATATGCTCCCACTTGCTTAAACAAACATAAAAATGTTTAAAAAAATAACATTAGTTTGTTTTCTAATTAAAATAAAAATTGAAGAAAACAAGTTGATCTTCGAAAAAATGCAAAACATCGATTTAGCGAAGCCTGCAACATTACAATGTTCAAAAATTGCAAAGCATGCGAAAGCATATGTGAGCCATGCTATACACTTCGTTTACAAATCATACGTAAACATAACATAAAATAATATTTATCTGAATGCGCAATATATCAAACAAATGAAACGCATACATAAATGCTATTTTATTACATTTGCATGTGCAGCTTTTATTCTATCCAACAATATAAGTCTATGGAATTTATGTTTTATATACATACACACACATTATATACATACTTATAATAAATTACATTTAAATAAATTATACTACCATTCTTCAATGTTTACTCATGCATTATGTACAGTTTTGCTTGTAACGAAATAATATTCTCTCTCATTAGCTTATAAAATAAAATAAAACACAAAAGTAGGCGATGGAAGATTCGTGCGTCAGTAGTATTTTATCATTTCATAAATTTTTTTTTACTATATGGCATTCCTTATAATTTCGTAATCTTTTCTGCAAAATATGCATAATAAAAAATGAATTGGAAAAAGGAAAAAATATTTCATTAGATTGTGCAACTATTATATATTGATATTTTGCTGATAAAAAATGTAATGAATATAAAAGAATATATTCTTTATGATATCTCTCTCTCGACACACAATATACTATAATTATAGATAATTATTTTAAAAAATAAAATAGCGATGTGTCTTCTTTAATATGCGAAAAATATTTATAATATTCATTCAATCATACGCCACTATTATACTTTATAAAATAAAAATGCACTACGCATATAAAAACATCCTCACACGATTAATATTACCGTCAATAATTTGAATAACTATACCATATCGATCATATAAGATTCATACTGATGGAACAAAATCAATTTTTATTTGGCGACAATAATTGTACAGCGCAAAACTATTTATAACAAATATAATTTAACTACCAATAACTGGTAGCGGAGTAATAAGTGTGAGGATCTCTTAATACAGGAAACAAAAGCAAAAACGAAGCAGAGATAAAAGTAGAGAAAGCAGCGTCAGCGAATAAGAAAGCAGAGATCTCTCAGCAAAGTACGTGAAACCTAAGGCAATGCGTCTATTTCTCGGAAACCTTGCGGCGAATTCTGAGTTACATGATGCTTCCCTTAATAACCTTAATAAGCTATAAATAATATCGTAATATTATATGTATCAAGACGCTTATGAAATCATTAATCATTTATATAATGTAAAATATGAAAGATGACGCAAAATACAAAATTAAGCAGAAAATATCGACTTGTGAGCAACGGTATTTATTATAAATATAATTTTCTCAAAAAGATTGATTATAGTTGTTAATATTAACTAGTTTTCCGTGTAACATTAATTCTTAAATTAAATTTTTTCTGAAGTAAGAGTTTATTGAAAATCGATATTTAATTATTAATTTTAACTTGTCCAAGTTCCTTATCAACGTTAATAATTCATTAATGACACTTTGGATTAAACTTTAAGACAAGAAATAATCATGTGAAAAAAATCCGGAAAAATATACATCTTCCTCGAAATATTTAATGTGAAAATCATGATGGAATAGACAAGTTAGAATATGCAAAAAAAACAAATTTCGATCCTTAGGCATTCAGTACTTTCGAGAGTAGTAGTAAATCGCAAAGGATTAAAATAAAGGATGTAATATAGAAGAAGAAGTAAGACTCACCGTGCTGGTGAAGCGATCAGGGATAGGGCTGTTTATTTTTATTTTTGTGTGCGATTGTGGATATGTGGATGTGTGGTTGGTGATGGTTGGTGATGGCTGGTCTGAGAAAGTCTGCGTCCGGCACTCTTGCCCCCACGGAGAGCCCAAGTACCTAGATACGTTTTCTGAACCTGCTATGGGATAAAGGGATGAGGCGACACACGCGTGAAAAGTTCGAGACGATTGTATCTTTCCGTTCACATATTTTATAAATAACTTGATTTTCGTATCGACGTCCTCGGGACAGAAAAGCTTTCTTCTCGCTTAAATTATGTTGTCAAAGGATATTTTGAGAAACGCAATTAAGAATAAATAAAGAATATCCAAATGACATATGTCATTTTTTCTTTTACTAAAGCGAAAAAATGAAGAAACAATTTGCTTCGAGTTAATAAGAAATTAATTTTTTTATTTATTTAAATAGCTAAATTTATATATTGAATTATATTGAATATTTTAATATTGGAGAAATACAATTCTATTTCTCTTTCAATAGAGAAAATGTTGATAAAAATAAAACTTACAAAACTGATTGCATACTCGTTTTTGACATTTTAACAGAATTATAGGTCGTAGAACTGGTTTTGCGTAAACAAGAATATTGAAATAGAGAGATCGCTGATATTCGACTTAACGCTCGAATGATCCGATCAAACTGGTTCATGACGTTGATGAGTTCTCGATAATACACTAGAAATCAGGAGTGTCCGGCCGGGAGATGTTTGCATTGATTAATCATCAAATCCCTAAGAATTATTGCCGCGTGATGGATTAACTATCTCTGTCCCAATAAGATCGCGATAATAATAGATAATCGTACCAGGACCATTTATACGTTTTTCAATGTTTTCCATATTTGTTTCAAGACAGAATAAATAAATAATTAAAGAAAAAAATTAAAAATAAAACACATTTTTAACTTAATTGTAAGGATAAATTACATTTTTGGAAAATGTTTTGATAGAAATTATATGAATAATCCCGAATATGTATAATAAAAAAAAAAATATATATATATATATAAGTAAAAATAAAAAGATTATATATACTCAATCAAATAAAAGGAGTAAAGGATATGTATTTTAGTAATATTTGTGTTTATATCTTTCTAACATTAGAATACAATGATTTATTAGACTGGAAAAAGTATCGCGGCAAGAAAATTAATTTTAGCGAGAAAATTAAATTAAGCTGTGAATTACAAAAGTCAGCTAATACACATACGTGCACATATTTGTATTATTTATCTCAAAAAGAAGGTGCAAATAATTGAAGAACTCTATTAAATTTCAATGATGCAAATATACTCAAATGTGAAATGGTCGAAAATGAATTACAATAGAAGACGCTTTGAGATCGCAATAAGTGCAATACAAACACATTTGCAAAGTACATCGCATGCATACGCTGTACAAACAACAGCGTTTCAAATGAAACATCGTGATGCAACATTTCAAAAGCAGAAAGGAACCATTTATCTGAAAAATATCTAAAATAATGAAAATTTTAAGAAACTAATTATAGTATTTGACATTAAAACTCTTATTTAAATATATTTTTCCTATGATTTCCAATTCTATTTAGTATTATTCAAGATATAACATTTTATGCATCATTGTTTTGTTAATCATGTAACATTATCAATAATTTCCGAAATATATACTCCCCTTAAATTAAAAAGTAATATAATAGTAAAATAATAGTAGTAAGTAATATAATAGTAAAGTAATATAATAGAATTCATACATGTGTTAAAATGATATAAACTGATATCATATAGTAATTTTCGTCGTTTTTATTAGTTTTTTAATGTTTATTGTAATTATTCATAAAAGAAGAAAACGATAGTACTTTCGTATGCAGTAAAATTAAATTAAACTTTATACCAGTGTTGATTCTTATTTAACGTTTTCAATTTTTTTTCGCTTTATTTCAACATGACGTTTCCAGATTATTTATTTCTTCAAGTTCTTTTTTTCTTTTTTTATTTTGTCTTTTTCTTTTTTACGAGAGAACATGCTATTACTGCATTACAATTGCATGCATTTCGAAAGATATAAATAAAGTTAATGCATATTTAGAAAAGTTCATTTGTCATGCATTATTCTTAAGAGATTAAATATTCGCTTAAATATTCAGTAATCAATTAGTTAGATAGGCCTAATGAAAAATAAATGTCTTTATAAATCAGCATTTTTTAATAATATTTATGTATAATTTTATTTTGATAGGCGCAATTCAAAAGCACTAATAAAATACCAACTTTAATCAAAATATTTATTAAATTTTTCAAGTGATATCTTTAAAGGAAAATTCGTCAAAGAGATATTAATATCCTACATCGCACAT